TGTCTCTTCCGACATGCTAGACTGTATGCTATGTGACGCTCGTTGATATTCTAATGCACGTTGAGTCTTGGAGGAATGTCAAGGTCTGTCTGGTCGGGCTGCTGTAATTAACAGCGCCAGAGCCCGCTGCCACTGCCCATCTTTCACTCGCGCGGGGTTCCCTGGCGATGTAGCTGACTCGCCTTTCGTATCGTCTTCCCGCAGCAGAGCGCTGATCGCAGGGCTATAGCAGGCTGTGTCGGGCCCCAGCTTCGCCTCACAGATCTCGCTCGTGAGCACCAGGGCCCGCTGCCACTGCTCGCACTTCGCGCATGCGCTGCCCCCAGCGCTGTAGCTGATGACGTTGGGCTCCAGCTTCGCCCAGCGCTCCAGCTGATGACGGGGCCCGCTGCCACTGCTCGTCCTTCGCGCACGCGCTGGTCCCAGCGCTGTAGCTGACTAGTGTGGACCCGTGGATGGAATCCACGATGTGCGGAACAGCTCGTTGGACCTGAGCAGCTTCGCGAAGCTGTGAGTCTTGAACAGCTCTGAAGGCCTCGCGGTCCAGATCACGCATGTGAGGCACTCGAAAAGGCCTAGGGGCGCTCAGAGTGGTCCAGGGTCCGGGCTGGGGTCTGGGGCGTGGTGGACCTGGGGTACAACAGGAGGCGCTTGACAGGGTCTGAGGTAGCTCAGAATAGTCTACGGCTCGCGGTGTGTGTGTGTGCGGCAGGTTAGAACGGTCGGAGTGGTCTGGGAGCGAGGGTGGGGTGCGGTGCGTGGTGCGGCTGTGTAGCGACACGGGGCGGTTGAGAAGATCTGGAATAGGTCAGAGCGCGAAACGATATCTTGAGCACGGCACCACGCCGCCGCAAATTAATAAGTATTGCCCCCCCCCATTCGACCGCAAGTTCTGTCGCACAGACATGGAAACCATGGTGTGCTAACATCCCTCCTCCAATTCCTGGTACAGTCCCCAATGGGATATTGATTTCCATCAGACGTCACAGGGGTGGTCCATCCCAGGGTATCGCCCCCGCCCTGCACGCAGCGTGATCTTAGTCCTGGGGAGCGCTACTACTACTACTACTACTACTACTACTACTACTACTACTACTACTACTACTACTACTACTACTACTACTACTACTACTACTACTACTACTACTACTACTACTACTACTACTACTACTACTACTACTACTACTACTACTACTACTACTACTACTACTACTACTACTACTACTACTACTACTACTATACTACTACTACTACTACTACTACTACTACTACTACTACTAACTACCACTACTACTACTACTACTACTACTACTACTACTACTACTACTACTACTACTACTCCTACTACTACTACTACTACTAACGACTACGACTACTACTACGACTACTACTACTACTACTACTACTACTACTACTACTATACTACTACTACTACTACTACTACTACTACTACTACTACTACTACTACTACTACTACTACTACTACTACTACTACTACTACTACTACTACTACTACTACTACTACTACTACTACTACTACTACTACTACTACTACTACTACTACTACTACTACTACTACTACTACTACTACTACTACTACTACTACTACTAACGACGACGACGGCTACTACTACTACTGCTGCGGAGACTGCTACTACTGTTAGTCCTTCTACTACGACTCATACGACTACTACTATTACAACTACTACTACTGCTGCTACTACTGCGACTACTACTACTACTACTACTACTACTACTACTACTACTACTACGACTACTACTACTACGACTACTGCGACTACTACGACTACTACGACTACGACGACTACTCCGACTATTACTCGTACGACTACTACTACTACTACTACTACTGCTGCTGCTGCTGCTACTACTACTACTACCACTACCACTACTACTACTACTACTACTACTACTACTACTACTACTACTACTACTACTACAACTACGACTACTACTACTACTACTACTGCTACTACTACTACTACTGCAGCTACTACTACTACTACTACTACTACTTCTACTACTACTACTACAGCTACTACTACTACTACTGCTACTACTACTACTACTACTACTACTGCTGCTGGTACACGTAATCCGACTACTACTACTACTACTACTACTCCTATTACTGCACCAATTACTGCTGCTACTACTACTACTGCTACGTCTGCGCCTACGACTAGGCGGCTAAGACTA